GTATATGTGTGTGTTTGCCAAGCTAACAATCAGCAGTGCCTCATAAAAGGATTAGTGACCTCCACAAAGAGAACAGGGCTCTTCAAAGCTTCTGCAGGGCTACAATAGCACTGACATTTGTCCTGCTCAGTGCAGAGATGGGGTGTGGTGGGACATCATTGCCACAGAGCACACTGACAGAGAGGGGTGGACAGGGGCACGGCACAGGGCTGGTCCTCTCTTTCACAGCCTGACTCTGGCCCCTTTGGCAGCCCACTCTGGTCTTCATGCCCTCCTTCGGCCCATTCATGCAGAAGGCTGCTGATGACTCCATTGGCTGGTTTTCTCTAAAAGGTTTAGCCCTGTCTGTCCTCCCTCTCTGCATCAATGGCGAGTCAGAAAGATAGATTAGATTTGCCTTTGATTCCACTGTGTTTCATCGCTTTCCCCCATCCAAATTGGTATTTAACAAAGCATTCCTCACAGTGAGTGGTACAGCTATGTAGCTCTGTCATTGATGTAGAGGGAGAATGGTACTTGGAGATATAATGGGTTAGTGGTGGCTAATAGACTGAATTGCCATTTATTTGGAGAGTGTCAATGGTGCTGAATTTCCCACAGATGCTGCAGTTCTGCCTTGCTCAAAAGGACAGGTTAAGAATGTATTTATGCACACTGATGATATTATCCCACTCAACCTACCAATCCCCCCAATATATATACAATGTATTATATATGTGTGAATTAACAAAGTCTGTTCATAAAACTTTTAATATTTGCAGTGCCACCATCTTTTTTTTGTGTGCAAGTAGCAAATTGGAAACTTCAAGACCTAATTATCCATAACTATTGTTAAATCCAATGAAAATAATTGCCAGTGGCTATAAATGGCAATTTCTTGCTTTCTTCTTATAGTTTATTATTATTATTATTACTGTTATTATTTCTTTATTACATGTAAATAAAATGTTAACAATTTGTGTTTTATTATTATTATTATGAAGTTAACTGTGCGCTCACAATCGTCTAATGTTTCTAGCTCGGTAGCAGTTGCAGCTAACCCTCTTGTGTATCAGCGGAAAAATAGGCTCCCGTTTTTAACATTGCTGGAAGCGTTGGAATAAAAAGAGGAGTCACTGTTGATTATTGCTCATTAGCCGCAAGGACATCCACTTAACTCTGAATAAATGAGTGACACTAACAGCCCCAGTTCGGAATGTCCTCCACGTATCTGAGCAAAATGTTCATTAATGCTCTCCATTTGCTAAGTTGAGAAAGAAAGCGGTAGGACACGTATGGCGACATCGGTATCGGTGATTACTTTGTTTCTGGTGAGGCACTTTAATCCTTAATTTCATGCGATGATCAGAGACACCGTGAAGCCCAGTGTCATCCTTTCAGGAGCATTTCAAATGGATTTTAATGATCAAGAGTGGCTCAGGTCCCTCAGCGCCTAATATGCGCAGAATACACACTAAGTAAGCATCAATATTTATGACAGCCCTGAACTGGCTCGTCACTGGTAAAGGCGCGTGCTTTCTGCTGAAAAATGTGTATGATAAAGTCTCTATCGTCGACCTAACGAATAGTTTGCTAATGAAAGACAGTGTATGTAGGCAACATAAAAGTAGTTTGTGAGCATTGTAACACGAGTTGAGTTGTAACACCATCAGCAAATTAGAAATTAGCTATAGGGAAGTTCTTTCTATCATACATGACCACCACCCACCTGGTGTGAATGCAAAATAAGTCTCTGTGTAGAAAAATTTAAATTATATTAGTAATGTGTGTGTGTGTGTGTACTGGTTTATATATCCTGGTGGGGACTTAAACCTGACTCCACACAGACTCATGGGGACTCGTGTCACGGTGGGGACCTAAATTGTGGTCCCCATGGGTACAAAAGCTTATAAATCGTACAGAATGAAGTTTTTTGAAAATCTAAAAATGCAGAAAGTCTCCTGTGAGGGGTAGGTTTAGGGGTAGGGTTGGTGTAGGGCAATAGAATATACGGTCTGTACAGTATAAAAACCATTACGCCTGTGGAGAGTCCCCACAAGGATAGCTGACCAGACTGTGTGTGTGTGTGTGTGTATTTATATATACTGGGAGTAAACAGCACTCTATGTATCTTACTCTTATTTACACATATCTGTACAGGGCCTACATTTCTGAACTATTTTAATTAGAAGAAGATAAATGTGTGGATAATATCTCAAAGTTAAAGACAGCGAAAAATGTCAATGTTCTACTGGGAGTAAACAGCACTCTGTGTATTTTACTCTAATTTACACATATTTGGGTATGTATAGGCCTATATTTCTACACTATTTTAATTATAAGAAGATAAATGTGTGGATTATATATCAAACTTAAAGACACATAGCGGGTAAAAAGACAAGTGATTTGCAGCTGTTTGAACAAAGTGTGTTAAAAATGATCCCGACGTCTTTGTAAGGAAAGAGTTTGGCTAGGAATAAGGACCAAATCTAATGTATAATTTAATGATAGCCTAATATTATAACGGTTTTAGATTTTTGTAGTTGTTCTTTCATAGCAGTCCGTGTAGCTTCCTCGGTCTGTTGAAGTGCAAAATGCACGCAAGTCTCTGCAAGCCTGTTTGCTACTGGCCTCGCGCTCTCCCTCTTGACCTGCGCGGTGCGCGTGAGAGGGTCAGCACTGATTGGAGAATGTTGGTCACTCTCGCGCTGTGCTCTAGCTGGTGGCGCTCTTCCGAGAGAGATCCGGAACGATGATTACATCAATCAGTGTCACATGCGTCACACAGCGTTTTATGAATAATCATAGCCAGCTCTTTCTTTGATGGAACGGAATTTCGGAGAGATAGAATAGGGCTATATACCATATATTAAAAAAAGCGCGAACAGCGGGTAAGATGAATACTTTTGTATTAGCCCCGGACGGAGCTTTTATTTCTCGCTGTGTCTCTGGGTTATTATGGGCTGGAAATGCATTGTAGTTCCAAAAGAGAGGCAGTGGCATAATTAATTACAATTTGCTGTATAGGCCTACAGACCGACATACCAGTTGCCCATTTGTGCTCCGTGTCAGTAAATCATGGTGACAGGCTGCACTTTGCGATAATTGTATTTACTTTAATCATTCTTAAACTTAAAAAAAAAATCATTTTATGTCTTAGAGTTGTGTGTGATTGTTTACCGCGAGCTGGACATTTTAAATATTATTTTAATGCAGGTATTGCCATTCAAAACGGTTTTATATTTTAATATTGATTCTTGAAAATGTTCTATTCTTTTTCAATTATTAGATTTTTTGACTCTGAAATTAAAATGGACATTTAAACCTATGCTGATAAAAAAAAAAAATTTCCCCATTATTTATTATTTATTTCGCTGTGCGGAATACGGTCTTCAGTTTCGATGATGTAGGCTGATTTTGTATGAACTGTGTCAAAATATTCCTCCAGGCATTTTTCTCATTGGGAAATCGCAAGCCTTACGTTGCTTAACAGTCTGCTTATAAGCTCCCAGCAAATCTCACAAAAAGAACAAATGATCCCAAAAATGCCCATGGTCAACTTTCTCGAATAAATGACATAAATTAAAGATTATGATCTAAATGGCTCGGTCCATGTCAAGGCCGCTCAGATTGGACTGTAGATGGAGCTCCAACTCTAAATTTCTCCAAACTTTGGAAACCGTGAAACAAAGCTGCTGCCATGCAAATCATCTTCAAGAGGGAAAACACACATAAATAAATAATTTCGCACAGTATCGAAGGCATATGGCAAGCAGCACAACATCAATGTCTGATTGGAATTCATTACATTTTTAAAAAGCAGAATCTCGAAAAATATAAATAGCCGAGATTACATTAACCATCTGTACAGAGGGAAGCATTTAACTTTTTTTGTGAGACTTTTCCTCTTCAAAGAAGAAAATATTCAATTCTCATTACAGTGAAATTGAGTTGTATGCTATTTCAACCCAATATAAATGAAATAATTATTCATTTCATATTGGCTGTTCCGCCTCGGTGGGGATAATCCCCTTCCATTAATATCCAAATGCGCGATTCAAGAAGGAGCTAATTACAGTTAAGTCCCCGAAATAGGAAAATACTTCAAATCCTCCGTTTCAAACCTCATAACCTCGAGTTAACGTTTCCCATTCCATTCAAAACACACACTGTAACCATTTCCGCACAGAAAAGCATGACATTTCTAATATAATTTACAATATTAACACTCCATTGTGTTTTTTGTTGTTGTTGTTGTTTGTTACAAAATACAAAAGTGACGGTAAAGTTGCAGCGGTTCATTTATTAGCCAAAATATAGACTTTCTTGTACAATTTCGGATCACAAGTATATACATTTTCTTTACCATATATACAAAACATTTCAACATCAAATCCTCACAGAGCTTACAAAAGAAAATGGGACTCACGGACTATTGGCCTGACAGCATTAACATCAGCCATTGTACACAGGACATGCTTACAATGTAAGTATACAGAAGTGAGTTATTTTTATTTTACATTCCTTACACAGGTTAAAATGAGAAGTAAACAAAAAAGAGAGAAAAGCCTACGAGGAAGAGAGGGCGGATAATACCATGGCAGCTTCGAGTTGGTTCTGGGGCCTATATTGGGACATAGAAGGGAAGCATGAAAAACACGGGGCCAATACAAAACTAAATCTGCAAGCAAGTAGGCCTATAGAACGACGTTTTGAAATCAGCATTTTGAAATATCGCATTGACGCACTGGAAATTTATTGGTTTGACATTATGAGTTTATTATTGCACAAGCATATGCGTAATATATCAATCATGTTTAAACCACGGTATACCAAGTACCCGAGTGCGTGACTAGACAGTCATGCATGAACATTATGTGATATTCAAATGTAAAAAATTAACAAGTAACAATGAAAAAAAAAGTAATACGCTAAATTAAAGTCATGGACAGGCAATGTACGATCTCTGCTCTTACCGTCTTTGATGGAAGGCTGTTTTTAACAACTTTTTCTCTAGCCCAGGTCATCTTGTTCTCCTTCTTTAGCCTCCTCCTGGCGTTGGCGAACCAGGTGGACACTTGAGTGAGGGTCATTTTAGTGATAATGGCCAGCATAATCTTCTCTCCTTTGGTGGGGTACGGGTTTTTCCGGTGCTCACTTAACCAGGCCTTGAGTGTGCTGGTGCTCTCCCTGGTGGCATTTTTGGGTCTGGAAGGGTCTCCGAACTGGTACTGACCATATGGATAAAACGCAGGATGATGGTGGGCAAACCCAGGATGCTGGACGCCCGGACTGTCCTTCAGTTCGTACTGTGCCCCCTTATAAACACAGAACACGGATCCAACATTAACGTGATTCAGTATTATTATTCTTGGCCTGGCATATAGTAGTTTTTTTTTGTACTCAGTTGCAGTTCCCTTGTGTATTGCTGAATATATGAATTGCGTATGATTTTCAGTCTGTGTGAGCACTTACAAAAGCAAGGAAGGGCTGATTTTTAAATTTGTATTATTATTATTATTTTAAATAGGCCTTATTGACTGCATTGGAACCTTTAGTAGCGTGCACTTTATATACTTAAATAAATTGACAAGATGCAGCCATGTATATTTGTTTATTCTGTGTATGAGTCTTTCATATTGTTTTTTTTCCCCTTAATACATGGTAACAATTATTTAACGATTTGTATTTATTGTAATTGCAATCACAAGCACACTACACTTATTATTATTATTATTATTTATTGTTTTTCTTTTATTTTACTTTTTCAACTTCTTTTGTATTTACCAAATGGAGTAAACCGCAAAGTTCACCACCGTTTTGCAAAACTAGCATTCAATAATGATTGGTATTGAACCATAAACTGAAGTAAAGGATTTTGTAACACACTTAAGTCTTTTTTAAAAAGTTTACTACATATGAGTTTGAGAGAGAACGAGAAAACAGCACAAAAAATAAAAGCATTACTCACCAGCTGGTTGAAAATGGACAGTTCATTTGAATAAGGAAGAAAAGCTCCATAGCTTTGTGCGGCAGCGAAAGGTGATCCGTACATACTGGAGAGAACATTAGAGAGCGCTCCGGACGGGCTCAGGTCTGCCCCGGCTCGGGCACTGCCTATCCCCTGCCTGTCCTGCGGGTATATGGGTCGGATGTACTGATATCCCAACTGTGGGAAAGACATTGTTGTGGAGAAAGTCTGCTGGAGTCACAAAAAGCGGCGAATCGCCCTCTTGGTGCGCACCACGATATCCACTTTACAGTGAGTACAAAGTGTCAGGGAAGTCTATATTTCCTCCGAAAGAGCCAGTGTAAACGATCCGATTGCGCTTTCTTCCCTTACTTCCCTATTGATCTGAATGGACTAAGGTCAGGTCCTTACAGATTGCTTTAGATTATTGGAACTCCTTTTTGTGATTGACATTTTTAGTCGTTCAGAAGCTCCTCCTATTTCTCAAGTCTCACCCCCACTTACAGAGCCTCTCTCTCTCTCCCCCTCTCTCTCTCTCCGCTCCTGCTCTCCGTCTGGATAAGTCCTCTGACGTCGCCATTTCTTATTCGAATGAGTTTAAAATCTCATTTAATGGCTCGCCAATCATTTCATTTGTTATCTGTTCGCCGCTTCAGCCCTTTCCAATTTCTTGTGTTACTTCTCAAAATTTTCGATCATCCACAAAATGGTAAATATTGTATTCTTGTTAAGTCATTAACTTCCCGCAGATCTTTTGTGTCTTTATTTTACTCGCGTCTCCTCCACGTGAAGCGAAGAACTTTAAAGTTTAAATCGGAGAGCACATACAGAATGTCGTGCTTACTCTTACAAAATACAAAAGGATTTTTTTTTATGCGAAGAGCGTTTTTTAGTGCATCAATCGGGGTCTTCTGACGCATTTAGTGAAACATCACAACACTGGCGTGTTACCGTTCGCCTTCAGAGTAAGTTGAGAGAAAAAAAAACGAAAAGCCTTCACAATAGTATCATTTCGTAATGTGACTAGGCTATATGCCGTATATTGTGGGTTTCTGCAAATTACAATTTAGTGCATTTTAATTTTTGAACTATTGAAAATCATTATTATTATTATTGTTACTACTACTATTATATATGATGTATGTATTTAAGCTGTCAGCCTTGAAGGCTTTTTTGACGTATTAAAATTTAATCGCAAATGTTTCCGTTGCATTCATGTGTAAAAGCTTCTGTTCCTAAAAACATATTTTGGGCTATTAACCTACAGGATTACTCTACAGATAGACAGATATCCATTGAAAAGATCTGATATAATCCGCACCCTTCTGTAAATAATACGGATTAAAACAAAGGACGAGGATCACGATTGAAATTCCTTGAATCAATATATGAAAATATGCAGGAAACATCTATAATCGTATTATGCTCCTAGTCCAGTGTCATCATATGTTTGCTAATCGTCTTCCAAACAACGGCACCGATTAGTGCTTTAAGGAGTTTCGTTTATTTGAATATAGGATGACTAAATCTCAGTTCAGTAATGAAAGATTATGGTGAATCAACTTTGGCTTGGATTTAATGTGATGTGGTTTCCAAGAACGCAGCATTCTTCCTAAACCTTCCATCTGCTTTTAAAGAGATAGTTATTGTTATGGCATCCTAATATCTGGAATGTCATTTGTATTGGCTCTTTGCTTATTTAAGGACTCCCGGTTTTCCATGTTCTCCTTACCACGTGTCTGCTGTTTTGACGTCTAACAATGCAGGATTACGGGGGTTATTAATTAGAACAGCAGTCTGATGCCATTCAGAGCGGATGGTAATAACTACATAACCGTCAATAACACCCACACGGACCTGCAGAGCTAACAAGAGCTCTCAGCCCACCCGACTGACCCCACAGCACTGCGCCATCTGAGACAATGCAAAACACAGCTAAGGTTTTATTTTCAGTCATATTTACCTACAGGTATTTGCAATGATTTTGACCCAAACTAACCGTTTTCAAACCGATCAAGTTGGAAGCACGGAGGAAAGGAAAAGTGTGCGTGCTGGAGTCCACCCTGCAGCGCTCTGAATTCGGATGGACACGTGTCTCATCCCGGGACCTGTCAGGGTTTCAAGGTTTGCCTCTGATTTATTGGCCCAATCAAATACACAGGCACTAACTTAACACTTTCACACTGACCCAGGAAACTGGCACAGCCATAAAAGCATTAGGACGGTGTTTTCTTCCTGCCTTCTTCTCCCACACCGTTGGAAGCCCGTGTAACAATTTAAATAAAAGGCTTAAGCATTATTATTATTATAGTTTACATTTTTATACTTCTAATAATATTAATAGAAACAATAAAACTAAACAATTGTATCAGAATTATTAATAGGCATGTGCTAATATGTAGAGCACGCATTTATCTAATTGTTAATAAAAAAAAAATGTGATCTATAGCCTAACAAGACTCCATTAAACGCAGGCCAACATTTCTTATCAGAATTATTAATAGGCATGTGCTAATATGTAGAGCACGCATTTATCTAATTGTTAATAAAAAAAAATGTGATCTATAGCCTAACAAGACTCCATTAAACGCAGGCCAACATTTCAAAATACCGCACTAATATCACGTGCATGAATAGGACAATCTCGGATGTGTGACTTGAGGGATGATTTCTGTGACTCCTTTACTAGCAATTATGCAGATGACACCGTTTCGCATTCTCCAACACGCATCCAAATAAACAAGCAGAGACGTTGCGCTCAAAAGCGTTTCCTTATGCAATACACAAGATGCCTGCGACAGCGCTGATCAAAGACTTCAAACAGGGGCTCTTCAAATTACACCTCTGAATCAGCTCTGCAATGCCAAGGCGACAGAAAACAAGTAACACATACCCCATCGCACATGGTCTTTCAAACGGGCTTTTCTGATCCGATCTGTTAATTGAGGTGACAAAGGATTTAAAACGAAAACACACTTAATGACCTTTGATGTGTGTGGTGTATTCGACAGGGGGAGGAATGAGAAATATGTGTGTTAGAGTGACTGGCCTAAATCACATTTTCTTTAACAGCTCCGTCAAAGAGGATTTTATTTGGTTAGAGTCGAGAGGGGAAATCAGTTTGCAAGTTCTGTGAAGAGTTTACATTTTGCATCTAAGTTTTGGTTAAACAGAAAAACGACTATAATCTATCTTGATTATAAAGAATCGCAGAACCACTAGTGCTATAGGGTTGGTCTAAAAAGATTCTGATTTATAATATGTTTTATACTAAGTGGTTCCAGATTATTAACCACTTTTCATCAAAGTTTATCCACGATTTTATAGAGCAGCTTTCTGCAAAAAGAAACTTACTACTTCATGTATTAGTTTACATAACATCATTAAAACTGTGTTGTTAGTTTTATATAGTTAGTTTTAATGCTTAAAACTAACTAGCTAATTAGTTTTATTGCTGAAGTGCAAAATAACTTGAAGGAAGAAGTTTTAATTTTCCTATACAAAACATCTCTGTCTAAAAATCAATATATATATATATATATATACATACACACAGTTAGCATAATTTGACTAATGTTATTTTAATAAGGTTTCTCCAATCAATCGTGTCTATTAAAGAGATAACTTGCAGTGGAGGAGAAAGTGGCGAGTTTGAACTGTTCCCTGGGCACACACAGCAATTTGGAGCAAATTAAGAGTAGTCAATGAACTGCAACTTATTAAAATGCTTTAATAAATTGTATCAAACACCAAATTCAAAGGCGACGTCTGTTTTAACCCTTCATTAGCTAGAGGACCAAATGCTCTATCAGAACCGACCTTGTTGTCCTACCGAACATCTACAGGTGGTTTAGATTACACGTTCTGGGGATTTTCTTAACATTTATGCCTCCTTTACACTAACACGGGCGGATTTAGACCTCTTGTTTTCACAATATCAAGAGGCTTAAATACAATGAAAGAAAAAGTCTATCCTAATCATATAAATGTTAATCGCATATCTAATATTATACTGTGTGCAGCTTTTGGCAACTGAATCAAAGCACAGACGGAAAAAGGAAGAAAAAACATTTCCCTCAGCATCAACGCCTCGACGACACCCCAGTCTATTAAGTGACTGCTGAAGTCTGAGTGCTGAGGCTGCGGAAATCTAGAGGGACTTATTCTCGATTGTTTCTTCGGCTGTGATACGGGGCAAGCGTATAGTCGGAGCAGCGCTGTCATAAAGTGGGAATTTGGATTTGGTAAATTGCGCAGCCAGCGGCGGCCACACGCAGTAATTGATTGAGAAGGTCAGAGCACGCGGTGCCCAGTCTTTGCGCGCAGCTTTGGTAAATATTTTGATGGCGGTCTTGCGCGGGCTTCGAGTTGTTCTATTAGCAAAGCAGGGTCACTGTCATTTATCGCTATTTGCCAACATCTGCCCTCTCAGCAAAGTGCACACACCTACAAGACCTATTTTTTTCTCAGTTGCCTTTTAGAGTAAATTTGTAGAGAATGACTGACAATGTGAGTGTGACAAGAATAGGTTTCCAGTTTTTCTACTTGTGCAGGTCATTCAGTAGTTCTACCTGACATCATAATAATAATAATAATTATTATTATTATTATGTTTCTGGGGGGAAAACAACGCACAGAAAATTGTCCAGTGTTTCTGGACCATCTTCACAACGGTGATTTGAATATTAGCCACATGCTTGTTTTCTTCACTGCTGCCGGCCTTTCTCTGCGTGGTTGTCTCCTGTATCAGTAACAAAGCAGCCATTGATTTTATGGTAAAGTCACTTTGCAAAGGGAATGAGTTCCTGTGGCCGGGGATATCAGTGTGTTACACGGGTATAGCCCAGGTAACAAGATGAGCATTGATTCAGCATTACAGCTGATCAATACCAAAATAAGTAACTTCAGGCCTGAATTAAAATACAAGTTGGAGCTTGCTTTGCTGCTGTCAGTTTATGGAGAAGTGACAGAAAGACACACAGTAGCACGACTGAAAGAAAGTGTGTATGTGTGTTCAAGGGCAAGACCAGAGTGCACAAGCACCATCTAGGAACTCTCAGATTATTTTTGTGTTATGTTGACAGATTAGAATTCAGTTATCTTAGCTATAAAACTGTCATCTGCACATATGCAAATTGCTATGCCAGTGCATTACCATTACTAATACCATTCCAAATGTATGTTAGTAGTAATAACTGTAAACAATCCGGTCACTTATGCTTAATGCTTCATGTGGTGACACACAGTAACTACTTCTGGTTTCAAAACTAATTCTGTCTGCAGTAACTCCTAATAATAAACCACATAAAGTAATCATTGATCCTTAATTCTACAGTGACTTGCCTAGAGATATTTCATTGAGGGGTCAGTAATAAACCGCTTGGACTACTAAAACCCTCATTGTACTGCATCATTCTCTTTGTACATGATAAAATCATTTGATTAAGAGCAATTTCTGAACACAAGATATTCCAGTGGAAGTTTTTTGACTTGAACATTCTTAGGCCAAAGATTTAGCTATAAAACTGTCATCTGCACATATGCAAATTGCTATGCCAATGCATTACCATTACTAATACCATTCCAAATGTATGTTAGTAGTAATAACTGTAAACAATCCGGTCACTTATGCTTAATGCTTCATGTGGTGACACACAGTAACTACTTCTGGTTTCAAAACTAATTCTGTCTGCAGTAACTCCTAATAATAAACCACATAAAGTAATCATTGATCCTTAATTCTACAGTGACTTGCCTAGAGATATTTCATTGAGGGGTCAGTAATAAACCGCTTGGACTACTAAAACCCTCATTGTACTGCATCATTCTCTTTGTACATGATAAAATCATTTGATTAAGAGCAATTTCTGAACACAAGATATTCCAGTGGAAGTTTTTTGACTTGAACATTCTTAGGCCAAAGAATGACAGTTTATGATCTCCAGGAAGTACACAAAGAAAATATGGTTGCATTCTATCGATCTCAAGTTGAAGGCAGTCAGGAAGGATTTTTTCTTATAGAAGATGTTTACCTGAAGCAAGTTGTGTCTAATATCTATAGAAAGATTACAGGGTGCCCCAATAGCATATTGAGCTGCTGGACATAGCATGCACACATACGGAAGACATCTTCCATCAGCAACAAATTGTGCTGAACAAAAGGAGAGTGACAGAAAGAGAAACAGAGTAACCATTCATGATTAAAATCAGACCTATAGAGTGGATTTACAGCTAAAACAAATAAGCTGTTTGAGTAATCCAATAATAATCTAATTGTGTGATTTTTATACAGTCCATTCCAGATTGCTAGCTCTCCTTGTTTTTTGTTTTTGTTTTTTTTTCCTCAAGCTGCTGTAGCTGGTTAGTATATAACTGCAGGAGATGCAGCTGTACTAACACAGAGGCCCCTATCCACCCAGAGGCACTGATAACCCTGCGGGAAGAATAGCTCACAGTCTACATATTGATGCATCCTCAAATATAAAGTCAAGTAGGTTTTTTAAAGATTGTATGCCTTGTATAACCTAACAGTTCAAAAACTAGCTTCCTGTCTTTAATGTAAAAGAATGCAAGCTAGTTTTTTTTCATCCTTATTATCTTTTTTATAACCGGCTAATAGCAAATAGTGCGAGCCTGTTATCAGGTCTAGACTGAATAGCATTATGGTCTTCGGTGTGTGTAATCAGTAATATTGAGTGGCACAGCATGCCAACACACTGAGGTCAGTGCAGTTTATATGGCCAGCACTCATACTCAGCATGAAGTTAGTGATATGACAGACCACCTAAGCACTGTCCTCATGTACACACTCCAGACTAAGTGTATTAAAGTGTGTTTGTGTGGTATGTTAACATGTTATATGTATTATATATGTATATGTGTTATATATATGGTATTATATGTAAAAGTGTATACCATCTGTCTATCTATCTATCTATCTATCTATCTATCTAATGTATATAAATGTAAATATAAATATAATAAAAGTATTATATGTAAAAGTGTATACCATCTGTCTATCTATCTATCTATCTATCTATCTAATGTATATAAATGTAAATATAAATATAGAATTATATAAAGTAAATGTAAATTTACAATGTTACATTGTATTCTACAGACAAATATACATTATTTCAGTTTAATTTCAACAACATTTAATTTCAGATTTAAGATTTTTTTGTTGTTGAATAATTCTGTTATTTTCACTATATATATTTCCCTTTCGATACTACACTTGTACTGTGTCTTGTTAGATGCTATGGGGAAAAAAAGTCTTTTTTTCTCCTGAACTGAAGCCTTTTTCAATCACGCAGTGAAACTGCACGGCCATTGGTTCATGCAGTATATTTTAAAAACGAACCAATGGCTCGGCAGCGGTGCTGCACAAACCTATGGCAGCGAAGCCCGCCAGAATGGGTGGAGTCATCTGGCTATGTAAACGGCCGCTTCGCCATAGGATTCAGATTTCTTCTCCTTCAGCGACGATGACGTTCTTCGCATCTCCGCTGACTGAAGAGCCTGCTCGCCGTTGACACGCCTCGCAGTGGAACAACTGTCAGGCTGATTCAATGCCTTTCGTACGTGCAGCAGCAGTCCGGTTCCCCTGCTGCCATCCGGCGAGCCGATAAAGAGCAATTTCTAAAGAGCAAATTTCTACAGCATTGTTTCAAATGCAGCGCCGTTACTGCGGTACGTGCAGGGCTCCCTTGCACGCCGATGATGGCCATCGTGAGTGCATTTCCTGCGTGGGGAAATCCCACGCGGAATCCGTGCTTACCGAGACGAATTGCTCCCACTATGAGAGCATGAGTCTCGCCTCTCTGTGCTTGCGGATAGGTTTCTCTGCTGAAATCGACCCCGCCCCTCGCGCCCTCCCGTTTTCTTCCTGCTAGAAAACTGTGAGGAAAAAACAGCGGGGCAGAGGATCTTAGTGCTCAGAAGCGAGAGAGCTTACGTCGGCTCAGGTCCCGCGTACCTCGCTCTCTCCACACAGAGAGGCTGACAGCGTTCCTCTGCCAGCGCGAGTGATCTGGTCTCGTTCGGTTGGAGTGACGAGGAGCTGCTGGATGACAGTCTGTCATTAGCAGCCTCGGACGCGGAGAAGCTGTGGAGCTCTATCGCTGACCCCGCCCCCCTGCCGTCGTCCGAGCCCAGCATCCCGGGTTTAACGCCGAAATACTCTGTGTCCTCTCGAAAGCCATTGAAGAGCTGGGGTTGGAGTGGTATCCACCAGAAGAGCCCTCCCGCAGCCATCTGGATGAATGGTTCCTGCCGGGGCGCAGTCAAGCCCCTAGCCAGAGATCCTCTCCTTTTTTCCCGGAGGTCCACGACAAGCTCACCAGATCATGGCGCGCCACATGCTCTGCCCGCCTCCGTTCTGCTGCTTCATCCGCCCTCACCTAGATCGACGGCGCTGAAGGCAAGGGGTATGAGAAGTTGCCTCCCAGACCACGCGACGCTCAGGGAGCTGAGGAGCGCGACAGACCTGGCTATGTGCGCAACAAAGACCACGACTCAGGCTATTGGGTGCTCCATGGCCAGTCTGGTGGTGTTGGAGCGCCACCTATGGCTGACCCTGACCGAGATCAAGGATGCTGACAAGGTCCCGTTCCTCGACGCCTCGGTCTCTGCCAACGGTCTGTTCGGGCCAGCATTCGAGGGCCTTGCTGAGAGCTTTACTGAAGCACAGAAGTCGTCCCAAGCCATGCAACACTTCCGACCAAAGCGCTCCAGTTCTGCAGCTGCCTCGAGTCGCCCCAAATCTGCAATGACTCAGCAGCCCATGAAGCCTGCACCTGTGGCGGCCGCCGCCACCCAGCCAGCCAAGCCTGAGCCTCGAAGACGTTCCTGCTCAGCCAAGTGCTACCCGTTTCCGAAGTGCCAGGGCCCCCGGCCTAAGCTAGCGCTGGACCCGGCGCCTCCGGCGTCATCCTGAGCAAAGGAGCAGGAAGAGGAGGAGGTCAAGTCTCCCTGCAGCCGGACCACCCCCCAAGCTGCCAATCACCCCGTCTAGTTCCGGGTGCAGCCAGCAATGTGTTTGATGTAAACTCTGGGCCCTTTCAAGCGCCCAAACGGCGATCCGCTGTTATAGTGGGCAAAATAAAACACAAACATTTTCAAAGAGAGAGCAAATTTCCTCTTCCTTTTCTTATGAGTACCGTGTCCCCTTGCAGTGACCAGGCACTCGAACCAATCCAACACCTGTCCTCCTGGGCCGAGGCGTGGCAAGCCATCCCCGGGGTATCAGAATGGGTTCTGGGGATAATAAAGCTAGGTTTTTCGCTCAAAGACCCCCGTGCTTCAGCGGAGTGGTCCCCAAGTGAGAAATTTGCTGGAAAAAGGAGCCATAGAAGTGGTTCCTCCGGCCCAGAGCGAGTCAGTCTTCTACAGCCATTACTTCCTCATCCCCAAGAAGAATGCCGGCCTACGGCCCGTCCTCGATCTCAGACGTCTGTATCACGTCCTCATGAGACGGCCATTCAGAATTATTGCACTAAAACAGATTCTTTTGCAAATCTGCCAAGAGGACTGGTTCTATTCTCTGGATCTTTCACATCCAGATAGCCCCCCATCACAGGCCATTCTTGAGATTCACCTTCAAGGGAGTGGCTTATCAATACACGGTCCTTCCCTTCGGGCTGTCCCTGGCTCCACGCACCTTTACGAAGTGCATGGATGCGACTCTTTCCCCTCTGAGACAGGCGGGAATCCGCGTTCTCAACTACCTCAACGACTGGCTCATTCTAGCCCAGTCGGAGGAGGAGTCACTATCTTACAAAGCCCTTCTCCTCAGCCATTTGGAATGCCTGGGGCTCAGGATGAACTTTGCCAAAAGCGTACTGTTTCCCAGCAAGCGAGTCTCATTCCTGGGAACAGTATTCGACTCAGCTCAAATAAAAGCGAAGGTCACAACAGAGCACACCCTAAGCATACGGCGGATCGCGGCCTCCTTCAAGGCTGGTGCCTCTCACGCCCTCAAGCGGTTTCAGAAAATGCTAGGCCTCATGGCTGCAGCATCTCCAGTGCTACAGTTGGGCCTGCTGCAAATGCGTCCCCTCCAGCACTGGCTGAAACGTGGGTTCCATTCCACGTGTGGCGTCATGGACGCCTGATTATCAGGGTAGATCAGGACTGTGTAATGGCCCTGACCCCCTGGATGAACACTCAATGGATGGAACAGGGAGTTCCCCTGGGAATGGTCTACAGGAAGAAGGTGGTTTTGACAGATGCTTCCAACACAGGTTGGGGAGCTCTGTGCGAAGGGAAACCGACGTTCGGCCACTGGTCGATAGCAGAAAGCAGTCTGCACATCAACTGCCTCAAAATGTTGGCGGTATGGTGGGTCTGTTGAACCTTCCTACCAGACCTCAGGGGACATCATGTCTTGGTCCGTTCAAACCGCATGACGGTGGTGACCGAGGAGCAGATGTTGTCATGAAGCAAGGTCCCCTCAGAGGAGTGGATGCTTCATCCGCAGACAGTTCAGAAAATTTGGGAAGTCTTCGGCAGGGCGGAAGTAGACAATTCTCTTCGCCTCAGAGGACAATGCTCACTTCCCAATCTATTTTTACAGGGACAAGGATGCGTTGGCCCACGACTGGCCCAACCTCCTTCTCTACGCTTTTTCCCCGGTTGCCCTGATTCCACAGGAAATCAGGCAGATCAGGGAACAGAAACGCAAAGTGCTCCTGGTGGCCCCGCTCTGGAGAAACCAGCATTGGTTGGCAGAGCTGTCGCAGCTGCTAATAGTAGCCCCGTGGCCTATTCCCCTGAGGAGAGATCTCCTCTCCCAGGCGAACAGGACGATATGGCACCCCAGACAAGAGCTGTGGGCCTTGCACCTGTGGCCACTCGACGGGAGCCTATTAGTTTCCCAGAGTGTGTATTGAACACCATTTCTCAGGCTAAAGCTCCAACAACAAGATGCCTCTACGCCCTTAAATGGTCAGCATTCTCTGCCTGGTGCTCAAACCGCAGCAGGGACCCGCTCACTTGTGACATATCGGTGATACTATCCTTCCTGCAGGAGCTGTTGGACAAGGGACGCTCCCCGTCCACGCTCAAGGTCTATGTGGTGGCAATAGCGGCTTCTCATGCCCCTACAGTGGGCCAATCGGTCGGTAGAAACAACCTTGTTGTACATTTTCTGAGGGGAGCCAGGAGGCTAAATCCGCCCGGCCTCTCACTGTCCCTACATGGGACCTGCCCACTGTTCTAAGGGCCCTGAAGGGCCCTCTCTTCGAGCCACTGCAGTCCGTCGACCTTCGGTCCCTGTCATTCAAAACTGCTCTGCTACTAGCGTTAGCATCGGTCAAGCGAGTAGGGGACTTGCAGGCACTTTGTATAAGCCCTAATTGCCTAAGTTCGGGCCTGGCGACTCCAAGATCGTCCTGAAACCAAGGCATGGCTATGTACCTAAGGTGCTCTCGACTCCATTCAGAGCACAGGTTATCAACCTCTCTGTGCTTCCTCCCTCAGAGGAGGACCAGGAGTTGAATTTACTCTGCCCCGTTAGGGCTCTGAAGGTCAACATCGAGCATTCAGCCCAGTTTAGGCAGTCGGAACAATTCTGTGTTTGCTTCAGTGGCCGCGCTAAAGAACACCTGGTCACGAAGCAGAGACTTTCTAAGTGGATAATTAGGGCTATTCTGCTAGCCTACTCCTCCTTGGGCCTACAATGCCCCGTTGGAGTACGAACCCACTCAACTAGAGGCATCGCCTCTTCGTGGGCATGGTCTAGTGGTGTGACCATTGCAGAAATTTGTGCAGCGGTCGTCTGGGCCTCGCTGTCCACTTTTGCTAGGTTCTATAACCTGGATGCCCCTGCCTTGCAGGCAAGGGTTCTTTCTGCTTAACTGGCACGCAGTTCGCTCTGAGTGCAGTTTGGATGCAATATGCCCAGACCTATCAGAGAGCTTACTTGTGTGCTCTTGGCCCCCATGGGTGCTGAGGCTGCGCAAGTCTTCTGGAACGATCACTCGGCTGGGTGAGGCCTTCATGAGACTTAGACCGTTAGGAATTTATTGTTTTTGTTCTCTTGGGCCCTGAGGTGCTTAAGACAATGATTATCATTGTCGTTCCTCTGCCATGGCACGGCGTGATTGTACTGTTCCCATAGCGTCTAGCAAGACGCAGTACGAGTGTAGTATCGAAAGGGAACATATTCGGTTACAAACGTAACCTCGGTTCCCTGAGATACGGGAAGGAGTACTGCATTGCTAGCCCTGGCGACTAGACTCAGTCGTCACTTCAGTCGAAGTAACCTGAATCCTATGGCGAAGTGGCTGCTTATATAGCCAGATGACTCCACCCATTCTGGCGGGCTTTGGCGGGCTTCACTGCCATAAGTTACGATCACTCGGCTGGGTGAGGCCTTCATGAGACTTAGACCGTTAGCCTGGAGGAATTTATTGTTTTTGTTCTCTTGGGCCCTGAGGTGCTTAAGACAATGATTATCATTTTCGTTCCTCTGCCATGGCACGGCGTGATTGTACTGTTCCCATAGCGTCTAGCAAGACGCAGTACGAGTGTAGTATCGAAAGGGAACATATTCGGTTACAAACGTAACCTCGGTTCCCTGAGATACGGGAAGGAGTACTGCATTGCTAGCCCTGGCGACTAGACTCAGTCGTCACTTCAGTCGAAGTAACCTGAATCCTATGGCGAAGTGGCTGCTTATATAGCCAGATGACTCCACCCATTCTGGCGGGCTTTGGCGGGCTTCACTGCCATAAGTTTGTGCAGCACTGCTGCCTAGCCATTGGTTCGTTTTTAAAACATACTGCACGAACCAATGGCCGTGCAGTTTCACTGCGTGATTGAAAAAGGCTTCAGTTCAGGAGAAAAAATTTCTTTTTTTCCCATAGCGTCTAGCAAGACGCAATACTCATTCCCATATCTCAGGGAACCAAGGTTACGTTTGTAACCGAATACGTTTTTCTTTTCCTTTTTCTTTATTTGGATCGCTGATAAAGCTGGGATAAAGAAAAACAGCTATTTGTAATAAAGAGAAACACATTTACCATTTTTCTGGAGTCGTCAGACCTTGGGATAACAAGATCGCTTCATTTCTTTAGTGTGCAGCCGAGTGTAATTGTTTACTCAGTCGTCACTTCAGTCGAAGTAACCTGAATCCTATGGCGAAGTGGCTGCTTATATAGCCAGATGACTCCACCCATTCTGGCGGGCTTTGGCGGGCTTCACTGCCATAAGTTTGTGCAGCACTGCTGCCTAGCCATTGGTTCGTTTTTAAAACATACTGCACGAACCAATGGCCGTGCAGTTTCACTGCGTGATTGAAAAAGGCTTCAGTTCAGGAGAAAAAATTTCTTTTTTTCCCATAGCGTCTAGCAAGACGCAATACTCATTCCCATATCTCAGGGAACCAAGGTTACATTTGTAACCGAATACGTTTTTCTTTTCCTTTTTCTTTATTTGGATCGCTGATAAAGCTGGGATAAAGAAAAACAGCTATTTGTAATAAAGAGAAACACATTTACCATTTTTCTGGAGTCGTCAGACCTTGGGATAACAAGATCGCTTCATTTCTTTAGTGTGCAGCCGAGTGTAATTGTTTGTAGATTTTGCTTTCAGAGTTGCCTTGTGAAATTGAGCAAATGTTAACCCACTTTATTTCTCTTTCTCTGTGTACACATGTGTTTGTGTATTTGGGGCCATTTGTTACCTTGTAAGCAGTGGAGCAGCAATGGGCTCAGCTGGTAGGTCACTCCACTGTGACCCAGTGATGATTACATGCACACACAGACACACAGGCTTGGGAAGAGCTGCCAGATTTTCAGAACAATGCCACCCTCATCATCACCATTAACGCCTCTCTCCTCCTCAGAAAATCCCAGATCCCAACACGGCCTCTATATTATCCTCACATATCAATGTCTGCTGGTGTCTGTTGTGGCTGGCCCTGTCAGAAGCTTGGCATGTGTGCAATCAATTCACTTCCTTCTGTATCCTGCAGATTATGAAAAGCGATTAATGATTACAATCAGCACCAACCTGAAAAATTTAAGGGGGTGAATTGACCTGAGTGAGAGGTTCAAGCAGTGGAGCAGCAATGGGCTCAGCTGGTAGGTCACTCCACTGTGACCCAGTGATGATTACATGCACACACAGACACACACTCCCCTAATTCCCTTTTCATACCCACAGGCTTGGGAAGAGCTGCCAGATTTTCAGAACAATGCCACCCTCATCATCACCGTTAACGCCTCTCTCCTCTTCAGAAACATCCCAGATCCCAACACTCCTCTATATTATCCTCACATATCAATGTCTGCTGGTGTCTGTTGTGGCTGGCCCTGTCAGAAGCGTAGCATGTGTGCAATCAAATCACTTCCTTCTGTATCCTGCAGATTATGAAAAGCGATTAATGATTACAATCAGCACCAACCTGAAAAATTTAAGGGGGTGAATTGACCTGAGTGAGAGGTTTTCAGTGCTACACAGATTGATGTTGAGCATGGCAACCGGAAATCCAAGTTGTGTTCCAAATCTTGGTCTTAAAAAAAGAAAAGGTTAAAAAGGTATACCTTTGTACTTAATTACCATAAAGTGTGCATATTAGTACCTTAAAGGTACATATAGGTGCATCTCAATGAATTAGAATGTCGTGGAAAAGTTAATTTATTACACTCAAATTGTGAAACTCATGTATTAAATAAATTCAATGCACACAGACTGAAGTAGTTTAAGTCTTTGGTTCTTTTAATTGTGACGATTTTGGCTCACATTTAACAAAAACCCACCAATTCACTATCTCAACAACTTAGAATACTTCATAAGACCAATAAAAAAACCTTGGGATAACAAGATCGCTTCATTTCTTTAGTGTGCAGCCGAGTGTAATTGTTTGTAGATTTTGCTTTCAGAGTTGCCTTGTGAAATTGAGCAAATGTTAACCCACTTTATTTCTCTTTCTCTGTGTACACATGTGTTTGTGTATTTGGGGCCATTTGTTACCTTGCAAGCAGTGGAGCAGCAATGGGCTCAGCTGGTAGGTCACTCCACTGTGACCCAGTGATGATTACATGCACACACAGACACACACTCCCCTAATTCCCTTTTCATACCCACAGGCTTGGGAAGAGCTGCCAGATTTTCAGAACAATGCCACCCTCATCATCACCATTAACGCCTCTCTCCTCCTCAGAAAATCCCAGATCCCAACACGGCCTCTATATTATCCTCACATATCAATGTCTGCTGGTGTCTGTTGTGGCTGGCCCTGTCAGAAGCTTGGCATGTGTGCAATCAATTCACTTCCTTCTGTATCCTGCAGATTATGAAAAGCGATTAATGATTACAATCAGCACCAACCTGAAAAATTTAAGGGGGTGAATTGACCTGAGTGAGAGGTTTTCAGTGCTACACAGATTGATGTTGAGCATGGCAACCGGAAATCCAAGTTGTGTTCCAAATCTTGGTCTTAAAAAAAGAAAAGGTTAAAAAGGTATACCTTTGTACTTAATTACCATAAAGTGTGCATATTAGTACCTTAAAGGTACATATAGGTGCATCTCAATGAATTAGAATGTCGTGGAATAGTTAATTTATTCCACTCAAATTGTGAAACTCGTGTATTAAATAAATTCAATGCACACAGACTGAAGTAGTTTAAGTCTTTGGTTCTTTTAATTGTGACGATTTTGGCTCACATTTAACAAAAACCCACCAATTCACTATCTCAACAACTTAGAATACTTCATAAGACCAATAAAAAATGAATTTATTTAATACACGAGTTTCACAATTTGAGTTGAATTACTGAAATAAATGAACTTTTCCACGACATTCTAATTTATTGAGATGCACCTGTATTAATACCTAAAGTGTACATAGTATCTTAATGGCATACATTAGTACTTTTTGAAAAGGGCACTGCTCCAGTGACAGGTTTTTGACCATTGTTTCTTAGAGTATAGACTTTTAACCATGTATAAGGTTATTTTGTCATCCAAAGCTAAAAATGCAAAAATTGAGAGTATGAAGTGTCTAGCATTCATTTCTTTGGTTAATCAAGTGTATCATCCGGGTATTTGAAGTGCGCCTTTTCTTTTTGGAAATTGAACACACTACTCACACTATTTCTTCTACAAAATGGTGCAAAAGTATCCAAATTGGGACACAGCTCCAGTTTTACTCCCTTATAATAAATATGACTCACACTGGTTGACCACACAGCTCAGAGGAGATGCTCACCAGTGGTGGGCAGACAGTGGCGCATCTCTCAGTAGGATGGTTGTGAAGGATTAAGATGTTAAATGGAGACCATTTAAAAGAATAGCGCCACTCTCCCTGTCTCTCTTCACTCTCTCAAATGATCTGCTGGTGCAGTGGATTAGCGCACTTGAGAGAGAGAGTCAAGAAGCTGCATACACATGTATAAATACAAGCATTATTATATATTGGAAAAGTGTCTTTGCTATTCCCCTGGTCCCACTGAGCTCCTGCAGTGCTCTGGTGACTCGGGCCTCAGGCGTAGCTCAGGAAAAGGCAAATCACTAATGCTCTTAGCATCAAACAATAAATCCTGGAGTTATTTTCCACCATGTTTAATTAAATATTTTGAGAAAAAAACCTGGCTGATTGATTTGCCTCAGCCATTGATTCACTATTGATTTGGCACTGTCAAGGGGCCTCCGCAGAGCTACTTGCTAAATGGCCACAAGGAGCCCTGAAATAAATGAAGTACTTTCGTGAGCTTTAACAAAATCAACTTTGTGTGCCGCTCCAACAGGTCCTGCTCCCACTGCTCTCGGGGGTTTGTGACAAGCCTCTCCTCCTCCTGAGGAAAATAAGTCCTCAAACTGCTTTTTGTATGAGCATTGATGAATGCTTCATTATGAAATTATTACATTTACATTTAATTATTCATTTGGCAGATGCTTTTATCCAAAGCGACTTACAGTTGAGGAATACAAGCAATGTATCATATAATGGCAATAAACACGAGAAGTGCCCGTTATACAAGGTTTTAGTCATCGTTCAAAATAGTAAAAAGCTAGGACAGTAGGATAATAACAGAATAGAAAAAGTGAAGGCATATATATATACAGTGGGTACGGAAGGTATTCAGACCCCCTTAAATTTTTCACTCTTTGTTATATTGCAGCCATTTGCTAAAATCATTTAAGTTAATTTTTTCCCCTCATTAATGTACACACAGCACCCCATATTGACAGAAAAACACAGAATTGTTGACATTTTTGCAGATTTATTAAAAAAGAAAAACTGAAATATCACATGGTCCTAAGTATTCAGACCCTTTGCTCAGTATTTAGTAGAAGCACCCTTTTGATCTAATACAGCCATGAGTCTTTTTGGGAAAGAGGCAACAAGTTTTTCACACCTGGATTTGAGGATCCTCTGCCATTCCTCCTTGCAGAGCCTCTCCAGTTCTGGCAGGTTGGATGGTAAACGTTGGTGGACAGCGTCTTTGCCTTCCTGGCGTAGCTATTGCGCTTGAACGTGGCCCGCGTGGCTCCTTTTGACTCCCACAGAGCATTAGCTCAGTTTATTTCCTCAAAACAGTCGAAAAGAGAGTGATATTAATAATCCCATTACAAAGCAGGAGGAAAAGAGAGAGAATTAAAAGGCCATTAGTTGTGATAAAAAATGTAGTCATTACTCACTAGATACTCAATTCCCTTTTCTCATCACAGCCTGGCTCTTTGGGATACATCATAATATCTCTCAATGCTAAATTTTCTCCTATCATTGTGTGTTTTATCTTCATTTATGTCAGTCCATAATTCAAAAATCATTATATTTCTTAAACAGTGTAGACATTTAAATAAACATCTTCTTCACTGACAAATTACTGCAGTACTTAAATGACTATGTCAGGTCAAGCAACAATATATAAACATACAAAGAGCTGGATGCAGGTGAAAGCCTTCGTAGCCCAATCAAACGATAGAGAAAAAGGAACAGAAGAAAAGGCGAAAGAGAGGACAAGAGGGAGAGGAATTCGAACACACACACACAGAGAGAGAGAGAGAGAGGCTCAGTGGATGGCTATAGGGATTCAGATTGCTATCAGGCCTTTATCAGTCTCATCTCAGAGCGGCATTGATCTTCGCTGAGAATCTAATCCTAACTATGAAGTTCAATAACAACTCCATTACCTGGCTTGCGCTGATTGGAGCGTTGTAATGCCAAGATTAGTAGCTGGCTGCCTGACCTGCCAACATTGATTTGTGCTGCAAAATCACTTGTTCTAGAAAAAGAGAGAGAGAGAGAGAAATAAAGAAAGAACGTGTTGGTGAGGTAATTGGTAATTGAACAATTTTTATTTTCACCTTTTTCTCCCTTTCCCTCTCTCCAGTTTTTCTTTCACCCCCGGCATAAACTCGGCCCTTTCTTTCATTGATTAGTTGCCTGTTTATATCAACCGTTACCAAACATAAGCTACCTGGTGTATGTATGTGTATGCTCAAACTGTAGCCAGGTTAGCGATCTCTCTGTCTTTCTCTCTCTCCTTTCCCCCAGCAGGCCCAAATAGCTCCTCTCAGCCCTGTGAATGAATGGCTTCACAGCCTGTTAGCTTTAAGTAATAGAAGCATTGAGCCCATCCTACTGGCAGAGACAGCTCATTTACTCCTCTCCTTTTCTCCTCTCGTAGCCCCCTCCCTTCGTTCCTTCTCTCTCCCTCATCCACCTTCTTTCTTTTTAACAGGCACAGATTACGCAGGTCAAATAAATGAAACAGACTGTTGTGCGCAGGCTGCTCTGGTGGGTGCTGAAATGGATGAACCCATTTCCTTTAATGCAGACACTCACCCCGCGCGCACA